TCATTATATAGGGAGCCTAGCCAAGTTTTCTGGATCATAGTTTTGTTCCTGTGATTTTCTAAGTGCCTAAAATTTAGGCATTGCAACACTCAGCCTTGCAACACCTAAGGACTCTTATGGATCTAGGCCACAGGGTCTAAAGTTTCTTTACTAATTCTGCTCTTTAGGGAAAAAACTCAAAGCACACCTCAGGGGTTGACAGCATTAGCAGTGCAAATAGTTGAGCCCCAGACAGTAACTACTGACTAGCCTCCCTCCTTACCAACTCTCTGTTCTCATACTATTTCCTGTTACCGTCCTGGGTAGAGCTGCTACAGTCAGCTATAACACTATAAAGAGAGGGTACTGATCATCTTATCCCTGAACCATTAGGATGAGTAATCCTGGTAATTGTACCTTAGCAAGTATAACTGTGGATCTTATTTTTATTAAAATAATTGTCTAATCCTTTGTTGAATCTTACAACACTTTGGCCAAACGGGAATCAGAGAGCTAAACACAAAGGAGGCAGTCAGGTCTGTTTTCTTTTTATTATATCAGACCTTTTTCTTTCTTTTTTTCCTCTCAAAATTCAATTTCAGATCAATCTGATGAAAGTCCCCTCATCCAAAAGGGCTGCAATTAAAAAGTGGTGCATAGCTGGTTTTGTCCATCCCTCACTCCTCTATATTTACAATAGTTCATAATATCATTGAAGCCAGGTCATAGATTGCATGAAGCACTAATTAATGAGTTATTTTCACTGCAGTATATTCATCAAATTTTTAAATTTATCTTAAGAAGCAGATGGGTGCTGACAAAACTACAAACTTTCACTTCAGGCAAACTGGAATAACACCAGATGTGCAGTGAGACAATGTAGTTATTGCTAGTAGAAACTGTTCTGTACCCTGTACCGCAGCAGGCACCAGTAGTTGAGATGGGCCTGAACTGAACTCCATTGGCAAACATAAACTTTGAGAAGTTCACATCTTTCCCTGAATTTCATGGACAGGGCCTGTCTCTACAACAGTTGAAACAAAAGCCCTATATCTGACCAGGCATAAACTTTGAGGCTATTTGGATCTGGATTCCCCTCTGTCTAGACATTTATACTGCACTTATCAGTCGTTTCTGAGCACCTGCACATCTAAACTTCACAGCCTGGGATCATCTCTGGTCACTCGCAATAAAACCAGTAGTGTTTGTGCCAATTATACAAATGTTTTTGGAAGGCAGAAGAGGGGATCGGTATGGAGAGCACCTTTCAGCACACCAAGGTTCTCCTAGACTCACACAGCTACCATGTGTCTTCCTTCTATGCTTTGTCTCCCCAAGGCAAGACCCTTCCAGGAGACATAGGACCTAGGGCTCAGGTCAGAAGTTTGACCTTGCAAACTCATCACAGGCTTCATCTCCTCTTTACAACCTCTCCTTACTGCCCCCTTCTAACAAAGGCTACTCCAGCTTGAAAGAGCATAGACCCTGGCCTATGGTTAAAGTCTCCCTTTCATTCCCCTATTGGATCTGTTCCATGAGAATGCACTCCAGTAGCTCAGAGCTGAGTCCTCATTGTAACTCTGGGGAGTATGCTCTATGCATTCATCTAACACAATGTAAGTTAGTCTAATTCAGGGGTAGGCAACCTATGGCACGTGTGCCGAAGGTGGCACGCAAGCTGATTTTCAGTGGCACTCACACTGCCCGGGTCCCGGCCACCGGTCCAGGGGGCTCTGCATTTTAATTTAATTTTAAATGAAGCTCCTTAAACATTTAAAAAATCTTATTTACTTTACATACAACAATAGTTTAGTTATATATTATGGACTTATAGAAAGAGACCTTCTAAAAACGTTAAAATGTAGTACTGGCACGTGAAACCTTAAATTAGAGTGAATAAATGAAGACTCGGCACACCACTTCTGAAAGGTTGCCGACCCGTGGACTCTAATTGAATAAATATCTAATAAATATCGCCCCTAGGTGTAGCTTTGCGATGAAAACATGTAACATCGCCAAGACCCAAGGAGATTACCCCATTATTCTAATCTCATGGTCTTTCAGACGGGCCAGCACTTGGTGCAATGCAGTAATCCATTGTGCCAGCTAGGGAAGATGTCACTTTTTAAAATCAACATAAAAGGTAGAAAGCAAAAATGTTAACCCCTTGACAATAATCTGAAACACTGTGTTGTGCTCTTACACTCAGCTCAGTTACAAGTGCAGTTTATAATGTATCATTGTATTTCACCACAGTTGTGAGCCATGTTTACCTATTCCTAGTCACTCATAAGAATCAAATAGAAATTATTCTTTATTGACAAAATACATTTTAATATTTTACACTACCTGGCCTTAAGCCATTCAGTATGTCAAACTGCTAAACCGGTTTAATTTACTATTTAGAAATGATTCCCAGTTAGCCAGTGAAATGCCTGAGGACAAACTGAATTCATGAGAGAGAAGATTTGTTCAGAATATCTGACTTGCAGTGACACAACCTGCCTGGATATGAGATAAAGGCCACCACCTTTGAGGTAAAAGAAAGGATGAAATGTTGTGTACACTTGAAAACTGAAACCTGGTTCAGAGTACATGATATTAAGAAATATCCTGATGTTGCACTCTTTAGCATCCTGTTGAGATAGAATTCCTAATAGGCAGGGGAAAGTGTTTGTTAGAAAAACAAGAACTTCACATATCTTTGAATCATTATCAAACAGGACCCATCAGCAGCACGGAAGCATGTCCTCTGGAATGGTGGCTGAAGCATGAAGGGACGTATGAATCTTTAGTGCATCTGGCACGTAAATATCCTGCAACACCAGCTACAACAGTGCCATGCGAACGCCTGTTCTCACTTTCAGTTGGCATTCTAAATAAGAGACAGGCAGCATTATCTCCTGCAAATAGTAACCAAACCTTTGTTTGTCTGAGTGATTGGCTGAACAAGAAGTAGAACTGAGTGGACTTGTAGGCTGTAAAGTTGTGCACTGTTTTATTTTTGAATGCAGGTTTTTTTTACATAATTCTACATTTGTAAGTCAACTTTCACGATAAAGAGATTGCACTACAGTACTTGTATGAGGTGAATTAAAAAATACTCTTTTTTTACAGTGCAAATATATTTGTAATAAAAATTATAAAGTGAGCACTGTACACTTTGTATTCTGTGTTGTAATTTAAATTAATACATTGAAAATGTAGTAAACATCCAAAAATATTTAATGGTATTCTATTGTCGTTTAACAGCACAATTAATCGTGATTAATTTTTTTAATCACTTGACAGTCCTAATTAAAATAAGTATAGTTTCCTCTTGTGACCTATAGAGTTGTGAGATTCTCAACAGTTTAACCAGGCAGGAGGAATTGGGTCCAGCTTCATGCAAAAGTTTTGTGAACCTAAGCAAGCCTCTTGCTTCAGTTCTGGACCCGTCACAAAACTCCAATCCAGGTGAGTATAAAATAGTTTCAAGTTTGCTTGAAAACATTTTGTACTGCATTCGAGAACTGGACTTCCATCTACAATGTTTTGGGGACATTCTCTCCAGACTCCAGGTCAGAACTTTGGACAACTAAAAAGAGGCTGTGCTCCACGAAATTCATCACAGGTTTTGCGCTGAGCCTAATGAATGTTAGGAAAGGACTTTAGCAGCCCTCCCAACAGTCCCAGGTTTTGCAGTACTATCCCATTTTGACCGCCAAAACCTCCTGCCTCAGTTGAAGCGAACATTTCTAAATTCAGGGTCACCTGGGGTGGGAGGCTGGAGTCTCCAGTTTCCCTGTTGGAGAGGGCCCCCAAATCAAGTGGCATTGTGACCTGGCACATGGGATTGCAGCACCACTCAGGACTGGCCCATCTGCCCCTCCATAGATGCAGATGGAGGGGCCCACCGGCCAAATTTGTGTGGCACCGCAACAAAGTGTGCTAAATTGCAATGCCAATCAAATTTGGTCCGTACACACCTCTCTCTCTAGCTATGGAGCGGGAGAGGAGCCAGACATGAGCAGCATTGTGTCCCACTTTAGCTACTTGAAATGTTGGGAGCTATGCTTTAGTGTGTGAATACTTATGCACTGCAGACCTCATTAATAAAGCTCACTCATGTACCTCAATATTGAGGTTCAGTGCTGCAATTTGAGCTGCTCCCAGTAAATGGGGATAGAACATTCTCAGACTGAAATGCCAAACACATCAGGCCAAATTCAACCCTAGTGTACCTTCACTGACTTCAGATGATCCACACCAGCACTGAATATGGCCCCCTTGACACTACTGTAGAATAGAGCAAGTGTTGTCACTCTTCTGAAGCGAAATTCTAATCTTCCTCATCAAAACAGATTTTCACTACAAGAATTCTGGACTTTTTGTGTAGGATTCATTTATTAAATGAATGGCCATCTTATTAACGAACCCCAGCTTTGTCAGTCAAGCCAGCAGGAAATGCTCTTACATTAGTGTGCACAGGCCTAACAACAAATAAATGAAGTAGCTCCTAGATGCTTTAATGTGAATTCAGCATTGGTGAAAGCTGCCAGATTAAAAGCACTGCAAACAGGAACATGTACTGCACAGCCAGCAGCAATGCAGACCTTTTCACAATATCTTGACTGGGAGGCACCACCTAAAGAACAGAAAGAGGATTATCAAGTCCTTATACCCATTTGGTCTTTGAGCCCTCTGTTGAGGCTGCCAGTTGGGATGGTGAACGTTGGCAATACTGACACTTCTTGAGTGGAACCTAGAATGAGACCAATTCATTTCACACAGGCCACCAAACAGCTCTCAGGTGATAACTTCTGTCACTACCCATTTGGGTTAGATTCAAACCAGGGACTTCAAGCTGGAAGGCTCCCTACCTCATTGCCAATCCCCCTGAGACATCCAGTCACCCTGTGATTGGGACTTAGCAATGAAATACTAAGCTCATTTCTCAGAACTTCCAGGAAGAGGCTCAAAAAAAAAATTTATATATATTTCCTCCTCCACCATGAGTTGCTATCTTCCTCATATCTCACCTGAATCAGAGTCTCCAGCTCCATTGGGGTCACACAAACGTGCTCCCGAAGGAAATCCGCCTTCTCTGAGGCTATTGTATTTTTCTGGCTGCTTTCAAAAGGCTGCTCCAGGGCACGGAAGACAAGACCTCCAGTTACCAGGTAAGCTACAACCACAACAAAGATGGCCACCACTGTTTTCCACTTCATGACTGTCTGCGAGCCCTGGGAGGTGGTTTCCATGGTGGCGACCACAGTGGTTCGGGAAGAAACAGAGAGTCGTGGAGCTGGATGGTGCCCGTTAGTCTTGGGCTCACAAGCTGACATGGCTGAGGGAACAACCACTGAAATGCAAAACAAAGGATGTTAAAAATAGGTTTGGTAGAAATAGATTTTTTAATTTTTTTGTATATATATATTTATTTATATATATAGGCTGTCAAACGATTAAAAAATAATTGCAATTAACTGCAAGGTTAAAAAATACTTGCAATTAATTGCAGTTTTAATCACACTGTTAAACAATAGAATACAAATTTAAATTAATTATAAGTATTTTGGGTGTTTTTCTACATTTTCAAATATATTTATTTCAATTACAATGCAGAATACAAAGTACACAGTGCTCACTTTATATTTTTATTACAAATATTTGCACTGTAAAAATAATAAACAAAAGAAATAGTACATCTCGACCTTGATATAACGCTGTCCTCGGGAGCAAAAAAATCTTACCGCGTTATAGGTGAAACCGCATTATATTGAACTTGCTTTAATCCGCCGGAGTGCATAGCCCCGTCCCCCCGGAGCACTGCTTTATCGTGTTATATCAGAATTTGTGTTATATCGGGTCGCGTTATATCGAGGTACAGGTGTATTTTACAATTCACCTCATACAAGTACTGTAGTGCAATCTCTTTATCGTGAAAATGCAATGTACAAATGTAGATATTTCTTTACATAACTGCACTCAAAAACAAAGCAATGTAAAACTTTAGAGCCTACAAGGCGAAGCATGAAGAGGCATGTTTATCATATCTGGAATGTGAATACCTTGCAACGCCAACCTACAACAGTGCCTTGTGGACGCCTTTTCTCACTTTCAGGTGACATTGTAAATAAGAAGCGGACAGCTTCATCTCCTGTAAATGTACACAAAGTTGTTTGTCTTAGTGATTGGCTGAAGAAGAAGTAGGACTGAATGGGCTTATATGAGGTGAATTGAAAAATACTATTTCTTTTGTTTATCTTTCTTACAGTGCAAATATTTGTAATAAAATTATAATATAAAGTGAGCACTATAATCTTTGTATTTTGCATTGTAATTGAAATCAATATATTTGAAAATGTAGAAGAACATCCAAAAACATTTTCATGGTTACAGGAAATAATTACTTCATGACAATAGACATGGACATTCAAAAAGTCCTTTAAAACACAAGTTGTCAACATCATATGTCAAAATATACAAAGTAAATATCCTTAAATCAAATGTTAAGTTCTCAAACTGCTTTTTTTTTTAAACTTTGCCTATCTGTAAAATTCTAATTTTCATCAGATTGTGTATGTATGGTAAAATCAATCTTTATCAACATTTACCAATACAAAATTTAATCCTTCCAAACCTAATTAAAAATTAAAATCTCCAATTGAAAGCATAGCTGGGATCTTTACAAAATTATATTTGCAGATACATAAAGTATTATGTCCAAGATACACAGAAGAACCTTGTTACGTTGTAATGATAATCTCAATCTGAAGGGACACCTTCCCTCAAAGGATCCATCAGCATTTCACATATTCATACAAATTATTCACGGAGATCATTTCACCCATTGCTTCTAAGGACACACCAGCTGATGTAACAATTTAGGAAAAAACTGGAGAAGAGTTTATCCAATTAGAACACCAACAGGGATTTTAAACTGGCAGAATGCAGATCACGCAAAATGGAGTTTTGTCGGAACACTGGAATTAGCATCCTATTCTGACATAATTATGAATTATTATTAATTATTATTATGGAAGAAGCAAGCTTTCGTGGGTAAGAATCTCACTTCTTCACTTGCATCTGAAGAAGTGAGGTTCTTACCCACAAAAGCTTATGCTCCCAATACTTCTGTTAGTCTTAAAGGTGCCACAGGACCCTCTGTTGCTTTTTACAGATTCAGACTAACACGGTTACCCCTCTGATACTATTATTATGGAGTCATTAGTGACCAGAAGTGGTTAGAATTAGACCTGGTAAAATAGTAAAACATTTCTTTTCAAACATCTTGACAAATCAAAGGGCTGAGTTTGATTTACTAGGATTTGTGGGACCATATGATTCATAATTACTCAGAAAGCCACTGGGTTTTTGTGAAAATGTTCGTGAATCCTGAGAGTTTTAAAGATTTTAGCAGGAAACATGCTTCATCCAATGTTCTGTGCCAGACATTTACTGCTCGTGAAGGGTGAAATTCACCACCATGCAGAGAGTCAACACAAAGCCTATGTGTCACGCAAGTCCTGCTTAAGCCCTCAGAATAGGGCTACCTAGGCCCTTGAACTGGCATGCTACTTGTCAAGCTGATTTGACTATATACATAGGATACCATATGGGTTTTAGATGCCACATTCATTTTAAACAGAACCTCTGCTGCAACCTTAACTATGGTGCCACTATTATTACTCCATAATCACTTTGAGACTTCATTGGTTTTTCAGTGTCTCTTAACCTTTCCAGACTAGTGTACCCCTTTCAGGATTCTGATTTGTCTTGCGTACCCCAAGTTTCACCTCACTTAAATACCTACTTATAAAAATCAGACAAATACAAAAAGTGTCACAGTACACTACTACTGAAAAATTGCTGACTCTCTCTCATTTTTACCATACAATAATAAATCAAATGGAATATAAATGTTGTACTTACATTTCAGTGTATAGTATACAGAGCAGTATAAATAAGTCATTGTCTGTATAAAATTTTAGTTTGTAACTTTGCTAGTGATTTTTATGTAGCCTGCTGGAAAACTAGGCAAATATCTCGATGAATTGGTGTACCGTATACCCTGGAAGACCACTGGTTTAAGTCAGGTTTCAGAGTAGCAGCCGTGTTAGTCTGTATCCGCAAAAAGAAGAACAGGAGGACTTGTGGCACCTTAGAGACTAACAAATTTATTAGAGCATAAGCTTTCGTGGACTACAGCCCACTTCTTCGGATGCATATAGAATGGAACATATATTGAGGAGATATATATATATCTCCTCAATATA